GTTAGTGGACACCGCATGGCGCCATTTTCTACCACTGCAGCCAGCGCAGGTGACTTCACGTGCGTGGCGTGTGACGTCTCTCTCTTGCAACGGTGTTCAACTATGGAGGGTGGCGAAAGTATGGAGGTGGGAGTGAGGAGACCATCAGTCCGTGAGAAGACCATGGTCGCCACTGTCGTCCTTGCGGTCTCTCGACATATGGAGATGGTGAACGGACTACGGCGGGGGGGTGGGAGGGGGAAGGGGAGGAGGGGGGCCGCCTAGCCCCAGGCATTGGCAGAAGCATCAACCTGTCTGGTCTGTCGGAAGGCTCCTTCCTGTTGTCCAATGGTTATATTGCGTGGCGTGTGACGTCTCTCTCTTGCAACGGTGTTCAACTATGGAGGGTGGCGAAAGTATGGAGGTGGGAGTGAGGAGACCATCAGTCCGTGAGAAGACCATGGTCGCCACTGTCGTCCTTGCGGTCTCTCGACATATGGAGATGGTGAACGGACTACGGCGGGGGGGGGGGGGGGGAAAGGGGAGGAGGGGGGCCGCCAAAGCCCAGGCATTGGCAGACGTCATCACCTCGTCTGGTTTGTCGTACGCTCCTTTCCTGTTGTCCAATGCTATTATCACGGGTGTTCTGCCAAAGGACACTCCTTGATGGTGGATCAAAAGGCGGATCGGGGGGACACGGTGGGACTTGGACATTGCATTCTAGACACATCCATGGTGGTGGATGGAGAAAGATGCAAATCAACCGGAAGACGGCGTCCTCCTCACACGTCGGCCAGCAGTGCGGACATGGGACCGAGAACCCCGCCTCGTTCATCCACTCGGGCAGGTGTGTTGTAAGACGTATGAGTCGACCCCCATGCCAAATCCAGTGTAGACGGGGGGGTGCACCCACACAATGTCATCAGGCAACGACTGATGGTGAGGGGGCAGATGCGAATACAGATTCGGATCAAACCTGTGATGCACACTCTGCTCCACCCCACTCCATAGCACCCCCCACCCGTCCCATACCCCTGTGCCCCCCGTTTGTATCCATCGCCCATACCTGTGCTCGCCGAAGCAGCCTGTTGAAGCTTCTTCGAACCCCTTCTCCTTTGACGTCGGCCGCAATTGCCGGCCAGACACCAGACATGCAGAATGATCACCAATGGCAACACCCCAAGCAAGAAAATGAATAGAGTCATGTGCTCATCCCGTAAAGTACAAGGAATGGAGCACCTTTTGAACAGGACAGAGGGCTGCAATATACGGGAGCACACGTGATGACTGACGGAGGAAAGGCGCGCGGACCGAATGGGCGCCGTCGACATCCCGCGCTCCAATTCGAACGTCCCCACCAACGGTCATCTCACCCACCTCCGCACGGACCCCTGCAACGGCCACCTTCAAACGCCAGCCAAAACGCCCCGGTGGAGGGAATGCAGGGGCAACAGCAATGGCACCGCACGAGCGTTGGAGGTTGTTGTGGGCCTGCTGTCCCATGGTCTAGCGGACAAGACCGTTGTTGGACCAGGAATGACAACCAAACACCTGATGTAAAAAAAAATAAAAAAAATAAAAAAATGTTTTTTTCGTGGATGTAAGGGCGCCACCCCCTACTTTCAAGTCACCTCCATGGGCGTCCTTATGTTAAGGTCCGTTTTGGCTGGGGAGTCCTTACTTTTGTAGGGCCCACCCTTACAGCAGCAAATGTGAAAACAAGTTCGACTTTTTTTCTTCGTGATTAGGGAACGGTGGAACGATGAAAACCTTACATGTAAGGGTTTTGTAGTGAAAATAAGTTCGACTTCTTTTTCTTCGTGATTAGGGAGGGGTGGAACGATGAAAACCTCACATGTAAGGGTTTTGTAGTGGTGTCGAACGAGGCCCTAATGACGCCCTTACAAGAAGTGGGGTCTGCACTTCATCCTTACATGTAAGGGTTTTGTAGTGGTGTCGAACGAGGCCCTAACGACGCCCTTACAACAAGTGGGATCTGCCTCTAAGTGCGTAACGCAAATATTTCGGGCCCAACCGACGCCGAAGTTTATGGGAAATTTGAATCGTGGTCAGAGGGGCACCACAGTTGGAGGGGTGCGACGCAAAATAATAGAAAATACAGGGACGCCAAGCAATTAGTGCCAACGAACTGGGATAGTCCTCTGGATACTCCTGATCGGTATTAGTGGAATCTATGACCAACATGGGTGTGTGTGCGAGCGCGAGCGCGCTGTGTGTGGTGTGTGGGAGAGTCATGGGGCTTCACTTTCACCCCAGCTCACTTAGCCTTATGGTTAGGTGTTAGCCTGCTAAGTCATTGGTCGTGTGTTCGAGTCTCGTATTCGTCACATGCTTTCGTGCAGTAACCGCCGTAGCGATTGTACTACGGAAGTGTGGCTGTGAGGGGGGAGTGTGGTTGGGTACACCGGGTCGCGGGATCTCCGTCGTGGGATC